TCCTGTACCCCTAAATCTCTCTTCCCATCAGCACCAAGCCAATACATTTTGCTAAAGAAGATTGACTTTTGTAAGATGGTTGCTGATGGTAGGTCAGTGAATGTTTGGGGCACCTGAAGGCTAGATCACAGGTAAGGCTAAAAGAGCTCATAACAACCAACAACTCCTGAGTGCTACGTAATCCAATCATGGGTTGGACTTAATGAAGAACAGTTAGAACCTCTTTCTGGTTAATACTGCCTGTGTTCTTGCTGGGGGATTTTCCATCACTTTCTGTCTCATATCCACTGAGGAAATTAATAAATTGCTGAATAGAATGCTAACAGCAATTAAAAACCTTTTACAGATTTAAAACCTTTCCTGCACTTAAAAATTTAAATCTCTGATTGCAAAGGCATTTTCTTTTAGATTTGAATATGGAATCTTTGACCTGGTCAGTATTTTACCGCTGTCTGTGTCTACATTGAGAGAATACCCTTTCTATCTGTCCTTTTTGTCCCCAAGATACAGCATGAAGGGAAATCAAGTTGTCACCAGAACAAGAGGTGAGGGAGGACCCTCCATCAAAGATATCTGTTCTTGTGTCAACTCTCCTAGATGTGGTTTTGTTCAGTTGGAAAGAGTTTTTTCTCATTTCCTGTTGAAAAGGACATCTCCCCAGTGGGACAGAGACAGCAAAAAATGGTAGAATTAACCCTCCCTTACCCACTTTTTAAAAGTGTATGTCTTTACATACACTTAAATCACTTAAATAACCTGCTTGCTACTTACATCTATGCCATTGACCTATCTTTTTTAGCCCTTTTTGCCAGTTAAAAGACTTGCCAATGTACGTATTAGCCTGAATTATATCTGTCTTGGGTTATAAGAAATACAGCACGTGAATCTTAATTTTTAGACTTTTGCAAATATATTGATACTATGTTCCTCCGAGATTTTACTCTTCATCAAAATTCATGGAGATGTTATTAAATGAAATGTAAATATATTTTTACCTTTGCACTGGGATCAATACAAGCACAACCTTAATGAATAGAACATGAGTTGTTTCTTCTGTTTTTACTATAGTGCTAAATGGATGTAACATAATATGCCATAATGAAAACAAAGGTTTGCCTGCGTTATGTCCCAAGTTTCATTGTAATATCCAAACAACACAGATGTTTGCAACAAATTATTCGGCTGACTGGCTGTAAAAATGCAGCATGCTAATCAGTATAACCATTTTATATTTTTAAACAGAAATGCCTATTATAAAAAAGTTTTCTATTTGACATATGTTTACATCTATTCTCTTCTTGAACCACTTAATGTTTTTAATATTGCCTTTTTTGAATGGTTTGAGCATCATGATATGACTCACTCTTAATGAGCTCTCATCATTAGCTCACAAACTCAGTTTTTGTTTTCTGTTGGTAGCATGAGCCATATATGTCAAAGATCAGGGCTGCTTAGAAGGCTACCTATCTGAGTTTCCCAAGAGTCTAGATAGCTGTAAGGTAGAAGGCATTGTTGTCTTTGCTTTCTTACACACCAGTAATTGTTCAAAAAGCTTGTGTTGTTGTTATTATTGTTTTTAGCTTTACAGCCTCTTTTTTGCTGCACAGGGGATGTCACACAAGTTAATTCTATCTGGAATAGGTTGTAAGGCTGCAGATAGCAAGAGAAATTCAAGCTGTGTAATTTATTTTATAGTACATCATACCTTCATATAGCTAACAACAAAAACAACAGATGTAGTAGTTTTTGCAATGCTAAATATAAGTATGCTGTGTATCTTTTTAGGTTCTTAGCAAATTTGTAAATACCAGATTTTCAGTGTAGGATATAGAAAATCAAAGCAATTACCTGGGCCTTAATAGGGTACTCTGTGTGTGTGTGTGTGTGTATATATATATATATATATATATATATACTGTATATATATATTTATATATATCACAACCTAATACATCCCTTCTTGGGGGTACACATTCAAAGGCAATATGCAGTCTTACTCTATGAGGGTCCAATCAACCTCATCAAAGGATCTTTGACAATGAAAGTCAATTGAACACGTCTCACGGAGTGACAATGGAATGGAACCGGAGTGCCCACTCAGCCAAGCTGGAAACTAGAAGTGCAATTTTTGGCACTATTTGGCTTTTTTTTATACATGTCCTAATGCTACATACCAAGGTCAAGTAATCTGTCTGGAACATCGAACATTTTGAGCGAATCCATCTAACCCTGTATCTTAGGGGGCAAGTCTGGTAAAGTGTTTTGCGCATGGGGAAATTATCACATTGATGAGAGGGGACAAGGTAAAGTCGGTTTTGCACTAATTTGAGCACTAATTAATGTGAGCACAAATACACAAAATTAATTATTGGTGTAAGCATGTTACACTATTGTTGTTTTGTTTTTTGTTTTGTATAAAATAATTGTTCAAGGAGGCTGAAAAATTTAGAGGAGTGTATTTAGCACACCAAGGTGTTGTGAATTCATGTGTTATTGAAAATGTGTGTTTTTGGTAAGAATACAAACAACCGGGAAACAGAGAATACACACAGGCATGTCTAAATGGTGTGTTATTACAAACACATGTGAGCATATTTAGAGAGAACAATTTCTATGTGATTTAGGTCACTACATCGTTATGCGTTTTTTTCTGTTTGGGTACATGTATGAGGATGAAGACAAGAAGACAAGGAGACAGTTTGGAGAATAAAAGCTCTATTGAACCCATTTATTTGTATGTGGGTCAATACATCTGGTAACAGTCTGGGATATTGAAGATACACAAACCTGTTGAATAGAGAAGTGTTTGTTACATAGCACTGGACTAAATTTGGTTAAAGGATTAAGTTCATCTTTAAAACATGTTCCCAATTTAGCAGCTGCTGCCCGATCCCCCTCCCCATGACAGAAGTACAGGAAGAAGTTTCCCGTACCAGCTGTCACTTTTTAAAAACAGCGCAGCCATGTGGGGCTTCACTCACAGAGTTCTGTGAATGAATGAACTACAAGTCCCAAGAACCTTAGTGGCTGTCTGTTTGTAGTTTCTCAATGAACTACCACAGCACTGTGGAGCACAGTGGCAGTTCACTGATTCTTCCTGTCAGTATATATGTTTGCCTGTACATCCCCTACAGACAAGCAGATATACTGACAGGTCTGCAGGATACCCGCATGCATGGCACCAGTGATCTGCTGATCACTGGTGCAATGTTTTACAGGCTCCTGCAACCAAAAATAATGCAGTGTGCATTAATTAGTAAAGTGTGCATTTATTATTTTTTGTCAAAAGGTGAACTTATCCTGTAACATCCGCCAGGGGTGTTGTGGATTCATCTAGCTGCTGTGAAATTAAATGTGGGGACGTGCACTTTATAATAACATATAAACATTGGAAAAGGTAAATATAACCAGGTAATAATGATTGTGAGGTATGTGCACTTTTAACAGAAGTTACAGCCGCATCACTGTAATTAGACAATCAGCCAATTATCTACAGCCTTGATCAGTGTATTCTGATAGTAGTGGGGCCGCAGTCAGAACACGATATCCCAATGGGGGGATTCCCCCATCTACCTCCGTTGACTGTATGCCCATCTGAAGGCTAACCCATGCTTTAAAATGCAGCAATTTACTGTGCAGGTTAGTGTCATTGATGGCTCCAGTGGGGAGTTGTGTAATTTGTGTCTTAGTGTATTGCACTGCTTACTTGTTTTTTCTTTTGAAATGTATTTGATGTAATACAGTTTAAGTTGGGCCTATTATCACAACAGTTTATATGATGCCAAACATAGTGAAACATATATTTAGGGTTTACATACATTTAAAAGCCAAACACGAGGCAAACAATTAAATCCAGAGTTGCAGTGCATATATTGTATTTCAGCCCTGGTAGACAGAACAGCCAGGTAAGCAAACTGACATTTTTTTTAGTGTAGACAAGCAATACAATTTCACTTTTCTTCTCCATCCTGTGTTTGGACACTGAAGAATCAGTATCAGTCTGATGAGATCCACTTTCTCCTCTCTGTTTGTCAGCATGTTCTTTTTCAGTATATTTTCCTGCAGCATACCTGATAGGCATTTGGTGCTATTCTTCCCTTCCCCAAACTTATATTTACAGTGCAGCACAATAAAACTGAACAATCAATGTCCCATTTGACAAAACAATCAAACTGGACATCAATCAAGAAAGACAAAAACAGAAAAAAAAAATAATTCCAGTTTTATTACAAATGTATAGACACCATTAGTTTTACAGTGCAGAGGATTAAATAAGATTGATTGAAAGGCAAATACTATACTAATTTAATGTAAAGTATATGTAAAACCATCACTTAATTCTTAGAATTTTAAACATGCTAATTCAATTTGAAAAGTCACTCAATCTTTTTAGATCTGATGCTTTTATTAACCACTTCCTGTCCGGACACTTTTAACCCCTTCCTGTCCAGGGCAATTTTCAGCTTTCAGCGCTATCACACTTTGAATGACAATTACGCGGTCATGCAACACTGTACCCATATGATTTTTTTTACCATTTTTTGAGACAGATAAAGCTTTATTTTGGTAGTATTTATTCATCGCTGGGATTTTTATATTTCCTTTGCTATGTAAATGAAAAAGTCCACAAATTTTGAAAAAAAGTGTTTTTCTTATAAAATTTTGCAAATAAATAATATTTCATATAAATCTTGGCCAAAATTTATTCCGTTATCTTTTTAGTACAAAACAAAATAAGCCAAATTAGTTTATAACCAAAAATTATAATTTTTAAACATTTTTTTTACATTTTTATTTTTTTTATATTATTATTTATGTTTTTTTTTTTTACATACTGTCACCCTAGCAGTACAGTGTCACCATGGGGACACTGTACTACTTGTGGGGGGTGATGAAGATTTGTTGTTTTTTTTTTACACTGATTGCTTTTATACCCATATAGGATGTAAAAGCAATCATTTCTCTTTCTCTCTGTCTGCATTCTTGCAGCCATTGAGAACTACTGTGTGAACTGTGATTAGTCACAGCTTGTCACATGGCACAAGGCTGTTGTGAATAGCCTTGTACCATGTGACCTCTGTGCTCGTTCACAGATTTCACACGCAGTAAGCAATGATGTCACAAGTGACATCTTGCTTACTACTTTGCATGTGATCACTGATTGGCCAATCAGTGATCACATGATCGGGACCGGGCACCGGATCGTGGTGTTGCGCGCTCCCAGGGAGCGCGCACAAGCAGGGTGCGGGGAGGCCGCTTATAAATGGCCACCCGACCCTGCAGTGCCACGGTCCGGCCATTTTTATTCAACGGCTGGATGGGAGGTGGTTAAAAAAAACTAGGTGATCCTGCCATAAAGGTCCTTGTTTAGACAGACTATTAAAGGGTGACAATGCTCTGTTCTTTCTCCCAATTGCTCTCCTGTATTGCCACACTCACAGGTGTTCACAATGGAGACCACAATCAGACTGACCACAAACAGTGCCCTGGCATGCTCTACAGTTGTCAGGTCACGTACAAAAACTGGAATGAGTGCCTATAGACAGAAATAGGCTGGATAATATCAGCAGCACTGAGATACCAAAAAGAGAAAAATTATAAAAACAATTATTTTTTTTTAAAATGGTAATTTATATGATACACAGTTCTTTAGCAAACTAAACTGCAGCTAGATTATATCTGCTTTGATGATTGTTAATTACTATTATTTTACAGGATTTATATAGCGCCAACAGTTTGCTCAGCGCTTTACAATATAAATGAATACACAACTGTAAGAATTGGTGTTGCTTTAATTACTGCTTTAATAGGTAGAGTATGTGGCATGGACAACACAAATTCTTGCTATATGTAGGGTGATATCCCTTTATTGCAATTATAGAATTCTTGACTCTTCCAATGTTTTTCTGTTCTCTGTCTAATAACCTTATCATCCATAGCTTAGCAATGCATTTGTTCTGAGCATTGGGACTCTGCTGTTTATAGTTTTGTTTTTTTTTGTTTCCGTTTTGATAAGAAGTATTATTTTATCATAACTCAATACTTTGACAAAGTCCCTGGATGCACTTTCACAAGAGCCTTCTCTGGAATGACTCCAGTAAAGGGTATTTACAAATGCAGGTTGGTAACAGCGGGTTTTTCTTTTTTTTTTTTAACATGTACATTTGCTTTCAAACCTTTAAATGCTTATTTCATTGAGTGTCAGTTTGACATTTTTATGCAGCTAACAGCGTATAGCTTTTCCCTGATTTCAACATTTAGAGCTTGTAGTCTTAGATCTTGGCTATTGGGTTATCTAAGGATAGGATAAAACTGCATTTTTTTTTAATGTATTCACATTCATGCTATGTGTGTTTGCCATTCTACCGCTAGATGGCAATAAAGCATGTGTTAGTTCTCAGACATTATTTTTATCTTAGCTGTAAGCAGATATGACTTTCAGCTTTAAATTGATATTTTGCACTTATACTGCATTTACAAAGTGAAAACAAATCACAGAATTATTAAAATTAATTTCTAACATCTGTAGCTAATTATCAGATAAGATCTTCTAAGTGTATACTGAAACAAGAAAATACCAATGTGGTCTTAGGTGTGCAGCAATGCTTTGCAAATGCACTAGTAATACAGATTTTCTTGCCATTGTAGGTGCTGTGATTAGCACATTTCTGCATGAGAGATCTTAACTTGTCAAATTTTAGTATTAGTTTCAATGGCATCCCTAGAGGATACGGCCAACACTTGGTACCGCCATTCAAGGGGTACACAAATTTGTTTTCTTTATCCGTAAAAATGTCACTTGGTCTGTAAGTGACACTAGGCAGCAATCAGTGATCTGGCTAATATCACCCTCCTTCTTAAAGTGAAGTTAAACATACCTTTCTTCAACGGTTCCCATTCCTTCACCAGCAATGGCTCCTTCTTCTGGGTGGCAGTTATTGACTGTCTTTTTTGGCTGGCATGGGATGACAACACTCCTGCGCATGTGCAGGAGTCAGTCATCCCTGACACGCAGCGACCATGCCAGCAATGTTGTGCTTGCGCAGCTCAGTTTAGATGCCAAAGAACTCTGTGAGCAGGCAGGTAGGTGTATTTTATTGCAGAAGGAATATTGCATGTCTTTTCTACAATAAAAATCCTGCCTGCTCACAGATTGTGACAGTGGAACTTTAGTTTTGCTTTAAATTCTGCCCACCAATAGCAGAGAGCATTCTGCCAGCCCATAAGGAAGAAAAATATATTTGAAATATATTTTAAAAATATTCTTCCCAAATATATTGCCATATATTTGAAATGCTACAATTGTGGCCATATTCATTATATTTCAAAATATATTTCAATAAATATAAATATATACTGCATGTTGAAATGCGTTTTCATTACAAAATATATGAAAAATATTTTTAAAAATGCATTTCAAATATATTGTATGTCTTTAACCCCTTTTCAGAAGCCGGGAGGTGGGGCAGGGTTTAGGGTCATGTGACCGCAGTGAAAGAGGAGATCGGGACCTTTCCGTGAGTACCGGACGTGTGCTGGGAGCGGGCAGGGTGCGCACTCTCAGCACATATGTCTTTTTTAATAGACCACAAATGTGCGGCCGCTCTGCGTCTAGACCCAAACGCCGGGAGGCCGCACATTTGCGTTTGGCCGGCGTGAAGAGGTTAAAAATACAAATCTACATTTTTGGAATGCATTTACAAATATATGTAAAAATTTATGTTTAAATTACTTTTTTATATGTGAATATATTTAAAAATAGATTACAAGACCTTGCACTAGCTTATTAACGTTTAACGTATGTCATTTAGCCATCACAACATATACTGATTATATATCTGTGGACATGCTATTGGTGTCAGTATGGTACTAATTGTATTTTCTGGAAATGTTTACAGCAGTGTCAGTACAGTTTTGATTGTCTATCTGTGTGTAGCCACCATGCTCTATCTAAGCATGGGGGGTGGGGGGCTATCTGAATTTAGTATGCTGGATGCTAAGCAGGCTAAGAGGATTTGTAGTCCATTTTCATTTGGTCTCCTCCAGTAGATGTCACTGGTACCTTTAGCATTAAAGGGAGTGGTCACAGTAATGCTGGGTTATAAATATTTACAGTTTTGCTCAAAAGTTTGCATACAATGGAAGAAATCATGACATTTCGGCATTTATATTTAAAATATGACTAATCATAACAAAAAAACTGTCTTTTATTTAAGGATAGTGATCATATGAACCTATTTAATATCATATAGCTGTTTGGCTCCTTTTTAAATCACCCAAATAGCACCAATCAAAAGTTTACATACCCTGGAATGTTTGACCTTAGTACAGACGCATAAGGTGACACAAAAGTCCTGCGTAACAACGTAATGGTACTTTAAAAAGATGGAAAAGGACATAAAAAGATATGTAAAGCCTTGAATATGCCAGTCAGTACTGTTCACTTAAAGAAATGGAAAGTTCTGGGATTTCTTAATACCAAGCCAAGGTCAGATAGACCAAAAAGGATTGCAGCCACAACTGACAGAAGAATTGATTGGGATACAAACAAAACCCCATAGGTAACCTCAGGAGAAATTCAGGCTGCTCTGGAAAAAGATGGTGTGGATTTTTTAAAGAGCACAATACAACAACTCTTAAACAAAAATGAGCTGTATGGGCGAGTTGCCAGAAAGAAGCCTTTACTGCGCCAATGCTACAAAAACGCCCAGTGAGGCGTGTCAAGGTGTTGTTGGGCATATTGTAACTGGGATTTTTTTTTCTCCTTGCATGTTTGAAGCAATAAAATCTCCAAAAACGTATAAAGTGACTGGTGCTCAATGTTTCTCCAACCAAAATATCTAGCCATGGACTGGAGCAAATGTCAGCCCACCCTGCTACTTGGGGTAACTCACATGCCTTCTGGGGTCAAAGGGTGCGACATGTGGAAGTGTTTATGGTTGTGTCAGTATGGGAATTACTGTATATCTGTGGACATGTTTCTGGCAGTATCAGTATGGTATTGATATTAATCGTGCAGGAATGTTTTTGGTGGTGCCAGTGTGGTTCTGGTTGTAGATTGGTGAACATGTTTATGGCAGTGTCAGTATATAGTGTATATCTGTGGACATGAGTGTAGGCAGGCTGTGGAGCAGGTTCCTTTAAGGTGCCTCCTCCCCCTGGGAGAAGACTGGGAGTTTAGGCAGGACAAGGGGAGGGAGGTAGTTCAGACTGGAGAGGAATGAGAAGAGGCAATCTCCAGCTGCTGTGCAGCTGCTCTTCTACAACCCTAGCTGCAAGGAAGAGAAACAGCTACAATGGGTTAGTACAGGTCCAGAAAAAAATATTTGGGAGTTGGTCTACAAATTGTTACCTTCCCTCCTTAGCCCAAGGAGAATAACAGACCTACAAGAGGAAGAACCCATCTGCAGAGACACGAGTAGTCTCCAGCAATGCCTGGGTCCAAATGTTCATTGCTGCTGATAGAACTGTGTTGGGATCTGTGACGAGAGGCATGTTAATAATTAAGGCTTTCAAGTAAAGAACGTTAACCCCATCTAGTCTTGTAGTGCCTTTACTTAATACTCAGTCAATACTGCAGTGAAAAGAGTGAGAGAGAGTTCTACTGGAGTCCCCTGGGTGTTGGGCGTGAGAAAGTAGGCCATTGTCTAGAATCCCTAGGAGTGATGGGGCAAAGCCAGGAGGGGGGGGGAGGGATAGGTCTCAGCCTTGGGGAGAGTTGTGGGCAAAGGTATTGTATTTCCCTGAAGTTTGGTTTACGTTTTGGGCCAGCTTGACTGCTTGCTATGGCCATGCGCGAGGCAGCACTCCACCCCTCATCATGTTTATGGTGGTGTCAGTATGGTACTGAGGTTATTTCTGTGGACACATTTATGACAGTGTCAATACAGTAGCGAGTGCATATCTGTGGACATGTTTATGGCAGTGTCAGTATGGTACTGAGTATATATCGGTGGACATGTTTAAGGTGGTATCAATACAGTAATAAGTTTATTTCTGTGGATATGATTCTAGTGATGTTAGAACGGTACTGATTTAATATCTTTACACATGTTTCTATCTGTGTCAGTATGGTACTGATTGTATGACTGTGGCCTTGTTTATGATGGTGTCAATGCGGTAATGAGTTTATATCAATGCTTCTGGTATCAGTATAGTATATAATGTAATAATGACATTACAAAATATATATCGGGATTTTTGGGAAGAGGGGGTGTAAAAAAAAATTGGCAACACTGGGTGCCATATAAAGTAGTCTAGG